ACCTCCCCACTGGATACAGCTACCTGCAGGGAAACCCGGCACGTCAGAACACCTCAGCTCAAGACTTTTGTTTCACAGATTACACAGTAGAAACACATTTTCCTGCAGTGGACGTCTTATTTACGCAGGATAATGTGTGTTTAAAGACGTCTTTGCATCTCCATGTTGCAGGAGACAGCTGTGCAGCTCCACCGGCGATGATAAATGCAAATCTTCCTTCAAACGTGTGAGGAGCTGAGAGGACTGAGAGGCGAGCGTGATGCTGTAGGATGTTTTCGTGGATGACGTTTCCTGAAGGTGGCAAATCCAGACCAGCTGGAGTGATAAACGGCAGTTTTTTGTTCCCTAAAATGAAGAAACATCTTTGTGCACGTGTTTAGAAATAGTGCTTAGTTAAACCACAGAGTTCTGTTTCGCCCTCACGAGACCTGAGAGGGTAAAACTGTTAGAAGAAAAAAGGGAAATAAACATTAAATACCATATGCGAATGAAAATGAATCTCAAAATGTCCCTTTATCCCTTTAATTTTATGTCATTTTTGCACTAACATGATGAAATCCTTCAATATATGAGGGGCTTTATTTGGATTAAGCAAAAACAAACGGTCCTGTCTGGATGTTCAGGCCGCTACCAGGTCTCAGCTGATGTAAACAGAGGTTTAGAATAGAAAAGTAGAAAAAAAAAAAGCCACAGCACAGCATCTTGTATTTAGCTCCTCTTATCTCCCGATTCCGAGACGCGAAGGTTCAGGTGGTTATCAGCCGCTGCTCCACCTGATGTAACGGGATGTAATGATTGCGTGATACAGGAAGTGTGTTGCCATGGATACGGCGAGTAGTACATGAAGGACCATGACAGAGATGTGCAACGATTAGTCACTTAAAGAAGAAACCGGACTGCTTCTGTTGGAAATTACCATCAAGTGCATGTCAAAGGAGGATATTCTCGCTAATAGATGTGTAGAAATATACAATCATAGAGGCTTAAATATAAAGATGGCTGTTATGTAAGAGAGTGAAAACACTAATAATAAACTGTGCTGGTGATGTATGCGTACAGGAAAAGGCCAAACATGGTTAGATGTTGTAGTTCAGGAAATAAATGGTCAGTGTGTGATCATATTTGTCATATTTGGTGGTAAACTAAATAAATGTCTGAAGCAAAACAAGACATTTAAATGCCACCTTGAAAGATGGGACCTTTTACGATTTATTATCATTCATAGACAACATATTTAATGGAAAAAGAGAGAATAATGGACAATAGAGCGAATTATTATGGAAAATTCCTGAACAAAAGCTGAAACAAACAAGCAGAATTTAGCTTTTGCTGCTTTTCTGTGCTGTTGGTAATGGAATAAACAAAAGTTGACCTGTCAGATGCCATATTTGTTTATTTGAGGCACTAATATGGTTAAAGATTATTTAAATAAATCCCACAATAACAAACTTTAGGCTCGCTGTGACCCTGTGATCATCACAATGGGCTGCTAAGTGGATGAGTTAGCCTAGAGCCCGGCTAACTGTATTAGCATCAGTCACCGTCTAATGAGTGGCAACAGTGAAACCGAAATGACTCCTCGCTTGATGGGAAAGCACCGGGAGGCTCCACCGGTTCGGGAAGCACCGGGCCTCCAGAAGCAGGTGCATTACCGAACCTTTTCTCGCTCCCTCGGGCCCGACTATTCCCCGGAGCGGAGCTAATCTGACAGCCTAGCGTCTGTACGGCGTCGCTAGCGACTAGCTAGCTAACATGACGTCGCGCACAAATAAGAGCAAGTTTAACGACTGAAGTGTTTAAAAACGTTGTTCGCTGTTGTTGTTTTATTAAAAATTTAATTAAAGACAGCAAAGGTGTGTTTATGGAGGGTTTTTCTTTCGCTAACGACCCAGTGAGGACATTTAAATGGCTGAGTCATATCCAGCAAGTAGACGGAGCCCGCGGAGCCTTACCTCCCCTGCGAAGCGGAGACAACCACAGTTGGGTTTCATCCGGTCCACTCGATCCGAGGATAAAGAAAGGGGGTGAAATCGGGCAGCCGGGCCTCGCTTTAGTCGTCCATCGTGGCTTCCATTAGGCCGAGTGTTGGGGAAAAAGGGGCTGTTATAAAAAATATATAAAAATAAAAGAACGGAATATAGACGGAGACGTCTACTTCCGAGGAGGGGACTCGGGGGGAAGAGCGAGAGGCAGTCTCCGCCCACCTGCGAGCAGAACGGGAGCATAAAACAATCGTACCCTACATTCATTAAAAACAAGAAAAATCTTAATCATGTATTCATCATAAATTCATAACAATATCTCCACTGAAAGTAAACTAACAGCTTAGGTAATTACCCAAATCATTTCTTATGTTTCTGTAATGGTTAATACACCAGCATGTAGGAGCTCTCTACCCAAATTATATATATTTTTAATGCTAAAATCTAATTATTATTGCTATCCATGAATTTTCAAATTTATTTCAAATAAATTTTATTTGATATTTAATTTTTTTATAATAAGGTAAAAACGTCCACATGAATCTAAACGCGGAGACAAAATTCTAGAGAAAATCTGATTTTGTTTCTTTACGTATTTAGCTGAGAAGTCACTATTTTTCATCCAAACAGGTCTTATTTGGTCATATTTGACGTATTATTTCAGTTTCTATCTCTCTGTTTCTCTATATATAAATATGTGACCACCTCAGGTTGATTTAACAGATTATTCTTCTAAAATGTGTCTCGTATCACCATACATACTCTGTTTCACATTTTAAAAAGCACAGCATTCAGCCAAACAGCAAAACAAATACATAAAATACACATTGTCATGCAGTGCGTCGCTTTGTTCAGCCCCTTCAGGCCTGAGTCTCCACAGGAACGCTGGAGCCGACTTTAGAGCCAATACTGTGATTTAACAGTCTGACAGACAACAGAGATGAAAAGAGTTCTGCAGTCTGTTCAGTCTGAGCCTGTGGGATTCTAAATGTTCTGTTTGATGGCCAAAACTGATATTCTAAAAATAAAATAAGAGATGTAACATTAATACCTGCCAGAGACAGAACTCTCCGTCAGTATATGCTGCTGATGCGTAGCAGAGAAGACTCCATTCTGCACAACATCCTGTATTATGTATAATATGGGTTAAAGAAAACAAATGCAGGCTGCACTTTGGTACAAATACACTCCTGTGATAAAGCAGCATCCACATAGATGCTTGTATTAACTGGAGGAAACTTGTTCAGTTTTTTCACAGGGAGGGACACTCTCAATGGAAAACAAAACATTACTCATCACTCTGTGAATCTATCCATAAAACACTGGAGACAGGCCAAGTTAAAAGCATTTTATCACATAAAAATGCAAACCAACAGGAATCCACATTTACCACAGAAACACAGACAGCACAGCCGAGGAAAACAGGATTTCAGTAACATCTGAGCGTGAGCGTTGACTGATCTTCGTCCATCAGACGGTTTGTTCAGGAAAGCGTCCGTCTGATCTCCCTCTGTGTAAAGATGTGGGAGCCTGCAAGGGAACGGGCCAATTATGTGGTTAAAAAAGGAGAAAAGGCCACAGTTCTGTGTCTTTCTCTGGTGATTTCATGTTGCGCAGCATAAATAAAACAGTTGTGACGAGTTTGCAGAAGTAAATTGTGGATTTCTGTGTAAGTCTGACGGTGATGTCACTCACAGATCCTCCTTCAGGTGATGTGGTCGTTCCTCAGCAAAGCAGAACTTGTGAGTAATCGCTGACGTACGTGCCGACTTCTGGCAGACGGGTGTTGCTTTATTTATGAGAAACTCTTTTGTCTTTCTGGCTGTTTGTCTCAACAACATCTCACAATGACGGCAATACTACCTTTGCATATGCTAGTTAATAAAAAACAAAACACAAAAAGTCATTTCCATCTCGTAAATCAGTAACACAGCAGGATTTTTGTCACAATATTTATATTTATATTAGTTGCACTAAGTTTGATAACTTCTAATAAAGCAATGTGCAGCTTTAATATTATATTAGGTAGCTTATTCCTCTATAACACTGTAGGGTCTCACCTTAATATGTATTATAGTCATGTAAAAGTGGTATTTTATATCATTTTTGGAGGTTTATTTCAAAATATTTAATGAGTCAGGTATGATCAGAACCTTAGTAACACTCATGCTAGGTCTTGTTTGGGGACTTTTGTTCATCTTCCTTTTTACTTGACTGTCTTATCTCGTTTTTTGTTGCATGTTTGCGATCTTGCTGATTTGTTGAATTCGTTTTCTTATTCAACCTTTGTTTCACTGTAAAGCACTTTATAACTGTGTTTTCCAAAGGGGGGGTGTCCGAATTAAATTATGATATACAAACACGTGTCACAGTTTATTCTGCATTTCATTATTTAGTTGTATTATTCTGTATGCCCAGGTTTATTTTCACATTTTTAAGGTACTGGATGCTTGATTTTTTATTTATGCTTTATCAATAAATTATCTATCAAGTCAAAATGATATGCAAGGTATAAAAGCAGTGTTTACTCGTCTTCACATTAGTAAACTCTTTTTATTTCCCTGTTTTTATGAACGCAAACAGTAAAAACTGTCTGACTTTTATAATCTGACAGGCTGTCAAAAGCAATACGTAATGCTACCAGTGCGTCAAGACTCCGTGCAGCCGTCAGCCAATCAGAGCACCCCATTTTGGGCGGACTTTTTGAACGTACCAAAGAGCTGCTCGCTGATTGGCTGTTCCAAACGTCAGTCAGCGGGGGGTTCGTCTCATGTAACGTACGCTTTATTCCCCGATCCAGCGACATTTATCGACGGATTAAAGACGATCGGTGCTAAACAGAAGCGCGTTGTTCCAAATTAAATAAATAAAACCACACAAAAACAGTCGGTGCGGGCTTTAATTTGGAATGTTAGAGCCGAAAGGAGGTGAGGCTGCTCTTGAATCCGCGCCCGTGATTGGTCGAGCGCGTGTGACGTCGGCGCGAGGGCGGAACTGCTGTTGGACATCAACAAAAGAGAGAAAAAGAGAAAGACGAGAGAAGACGGGAGAGAATCCGGAGCTCAACACAACAGATATGTGGATTTAACCTGCAATAACAGGTAAACGAAACCTTTTTTAAAAGCACACCACAACAGAACTCGTTCTGTGTTTAGTGTTTGTATTAACTGAGCTACGTTCGTGTTTTGTTAAAACACATTAAAAGGCGAGAAACAGGGAAATCAAAGTAGAACGTCAACAATGGGACGTTAATGGAGCTTAAACGCTGATTTAACTTCAGCTAATGCTGCTCGAAAATGAATCTTGTGGCTATTTTTGAAAAATATTTCTCTGCAAAATTACGACAGAACTCGTACTGGAGCGTTTTAAATACTACTGAGGTGCATTTCTCAGGTCCTGCAAGGATTTAATTTCATTTAGTTGAGCTTCGTGTTTTGTTTTTTAGTGGCTGTGAATTATTTTTTTTTTAATTAAAGTGTTTTCAAGCAGTTTGCACGTCCAGCTCGTCGGTTTGTCTTCTGCTCTGTTGTTGTTGGTTTCCTCCTGAAACCGTTTTTTTTTTTCTCCTCCTGTTTTTACCTCGATTATATCCACTACGACGAACCGGAATGAGCACAAATATTCAGTTTAACACGGCAACGATGTGATCTGAGCTGTAAATACGTGTTTTTTGTGTTGTTAGTGGCGCTGTACAGTACAATTTATTAGACATTTAACGTCTGAGGAATGATTAGAAGCGGCCCCTCCCCCCGCTCCGAGGATTTAAAGCTAGCTGCTGTTAGCTTCGGCGGCTACAACCGACTAAAGCCGATAAAAAACGAAGATTTCCGTCCGTGTGGGTCGATTTATTTGTGTCCGTGTTGTTTTGGTAGTTTATTAACAGACAGAACCTTGAAAAAATTGCGAAAAACTGCCAGTTGTTTTTCGGTCAGAGGACAGAGAAGGCGTCTACCAGAGGAAACCCGACACCGGAGCCCAGCTGGGGGAAGTGGGCTGGGCTCCGAGCTGACCCCCGGTAGCACCGAGAGCAAGAGTAGGCCACAGAGGAGTAACGGCACCGACAATACGGTTCAAGACGGGTTTTCTACCAAATTATCATTATTTTAAAGACAAAACTTCCACAGAGTTTGGTGCTGCTGAGCATAATCTCTCCAGATGTGTTTTATTATTTGGTTTAAAAATAACCACAGCTATCATAATATCATAACTCCTGCTTATACAATCAGTAAATTATAAAATCGGGCAATAAATTGATCAGAGATCACCTCAGACACTCCCAAGATTATGTCATCAGGTGCTGGAGGAACTGAAACCTGCTTCAGTTTGGATCAATGTGGGTAAAAGAAGTTGGATCTGGTGCTGGTTTACACACATTTCCAAACATTTTAGGGGAATTAACGTTTGTAGAAGTGAAGTCAGGACACACCTACCAGAGGGAAAGTCCAAAACATTTCTCTCCAAAGTGAAAGTACTTGTCTTGTGTTGAACAGTGACGTAGAGCTCGTAGAAACCTCGGTGAGCGAAACAAAGGTGTGACATAAACCAAACTTTCTCTGCTTGCAGTGACAGTACTGTGGATAACATAATAGTGCCAACTGAGACATGGATGCCTTCAAGCTGATGAAGGAGCTGAGGGTGAATTATGAGCAGGAGGTTTATTATCAACCTAAAGAAACTGGACTGAGCCTCATCGAATCCTCGACACAGGTGAGAACTTGGCGATCGATCCGTCAGCGGCGGCGCTCCGAGGTTACTGCAGGTGTCCTAACCTTCAGCGTGTGTTTGTTTCCCAGGATGACAGCCGGATCTCGGCCAAGTGCAGAGATGCCAAAGTGGAGGATCTGTGGAGTCTGACCAGCTTCTTCGGTTACCGAACGCAGACCTTCGTCCTGGCTGTTAACCTGCTGGACAGGTTCCTGGCCATGATGAGGGTACGACACGCTAACACCTGACAGCAGCACACTTAACAGCGTCTGGTCACACATATCTGGCTGCTTATGGAGTAAAATATAATCATGTTGGGGACAGAGTCTTCTAGTCTTGTTAAGTAATCACATATTTCCTTAATCGGTTTCATAGCACACAGTGAAATGCTTGCTGCTGATCTTGTGATGCCCTCAGCAGCCTGACGTGACCTCCATGATGCAGCTGATGCAGCCGGGGTCATTTCAGTGCATCTCCTCCCTCTCCTCGACGGTTTCTCACTCACCTGCCCTCTCCTCCCTCAGATCCAGCCCAAGCACCTGTCCTGCGTCAGCCTCAGCTGCCTCCACATGGCGGCCAAGGTGACGGAGGAGGAGTGCAACCTGACGCCCACCGACGAGCTCATCCGCATCGGCCAGTGCAGGTTCACCGTGTCCGACCTCGGCCGCATGGAGAAGATCGTCGCCGAGAAGCTCAACTTCAAGTCCAAAGCCATCACTGCCTTAACGTTTCTGCACTTGTACCACCGGATCGCACTTTCGCACTCGACCGACAGGTGAGGCCGCCGTCACATTCCTGCCCCGCTCCTGGATTGATTTTTGTTTGGCTACGTGCAGGGACTCGCTGCGAATACATAATCCATTCCTGATTTGTGTCTAAAAGCCAACGGTACGTGCCAGGTTGTGCGGTGTTGTGATTGGTGCAGGTCGTCCACACCGCTGCTTGTTTGTCACATAGAGCGAAGTAGGGCGTCGGGCTGAAGTGCAGCGATAAGATTTGTTGTCTGCTCCACCTTGCTCTTGCATAACCCTGAGATACTGTTTGAACGGCTCAGCTGGTTCAGGATTCAACAACACACACAGTTTACACCAGTTTTGGAAATTTTTACGAGTGACTAGTTAAATTTCTTGTTCTCATTTTCTACACATTCTTAGCAAATGTTGTTTTCGAGTGAATGAGTGAAACTTTACTCGCGTGGCGCCTTTTGTAAGGTGAAGGTGATTCTGTCTGAGAAATGTTGTGTTTGTGTGTGAACAGGAAGGAGAGTCTGAGTCTGGACAAGCTGGAGGCTCAACTCAAAGCCTGTCTGTGCCGGATCTCCTTCTCTAAAGCGAAGGTAGGAATCCTCTGCAGGGGTTGGACCGGATCACAGCGGCTCACGGGTCGCCCACAAATTAGTTTCATTTGGGCAACGATGCTGATAAAAAGCTAACGTCTCTTTTCTTTTTGTGCCCGTTTAGCCGTCCATCCTGGCCTTGTCCCTCCTGAGGCAGGAGATCGAAGCCATTCAGTCGGAGGACATGCTGGAAATAGCGTATCACATCCAGAGACACCTGAAGGTACGTTGAGCACCGCGTGGCCTAGTTACACCGTCGGCAGGGAAAGTCACACCTGCCGTCACCAAAAAAAGTTTGAGGCAGCAGCAGCTCAAATCGTATTAATTTAGAGGACATGAGACTCTGACGGTTCCACAGACGTCTTGTGGTTCCTGAAAACTGGCAGTAAAAGTATCTGGGACACACGGAGCTAAATTCCACAAATATGAAAACGACAGACGGCTTTATTATCCGGCTGCAGGCGCTCGGCTGCGAGGTGAGACTCCGGTTTCTGGCTACATCGGAAGAGGGTGTGAACTCGGCGCTGAATGGGTTTGAGATGGAAATATGAATAGCAGCAGCAGTGGGCGGGTGTTTGTTTATTCTCAGCCGAGCTCGGATCCAAAACAGTTTTTATTTTTTCCTCTGTTGATGTCTGCTGTTACGTAACCTCGTGTTGTGACGGCGCCGCTTCTAGTATGTGAAAGAAACTCGAATTTAAAGCTTCTTTTTTCGATAATGTTCCAGTAAGTTGTCCTTTAGATGAGGACCGTTTTAGATCTTGGCACGTCGCCGTTGCAGTAATACCCCGACGCTGCCAAACGCTTTAAGGTTCAGGTGTTACGTGACCAGCTGCTCAGGTTTCAGGACAAATCTACAGGAGCTCTTCTAACCTGGTTTCTCTTCACCTGGGAGAGCAGCCAGGTTTCTGTTGACAGTCGCAGCGTTAAGTAATCGGACTGTTTTAAACACACCGACGTCCATCAGCGAGCGCGGCGTCGGGCCAGGCGGCTTAACTCAACGGCGTCTTTTGGTTTCAGATTGCGGATGGCGAGCTGCTGCTGTGGAGCGAGCGGGTGGCCCAGTGCCTGTCGGACTACGCCTCCCCCGAATGCAGCAAACCCAACCACCGGAGGCTGCAGTGGATCGTGTCGCGGCGGACCGCCCAGAACCTGCACAGCTACCGGAGCGTCCCCGAGCTGCCCACCATCCCCGAGGGCTGCTGGGACGAGAGCGAGAGGTCAGAAAACACCCGAGAAACACAGCGACACATTGTCACGGCAGAAACAAACAGAATAAACAACAGAAACAGCAAATATCACACGTTCAGTTGAAGGGACGGAGCGATTATCACAGCCGATGTCTGGTGATCTGTGTTTTTATTGATGGTTCAGACTCCTCTCTCTGAACCAGAGAACAACAAACACAAACCAGGAAGTTAGCTCCTCTCGCAGTGGCTAAAGCTAACAGCTAGCGGCTAAGTTAGCAGGCAGCCACAGATTAACCTGAAACAATAATTAATACTAAGATCTGGACCGTTAGTGGAAAATAAAAGTGATAAAACAGTGAAAGATGGAGAAAATAGAAACTGATCAATCTCACATAAACAGAAAAACGTCCTCATTGAACCGCTCCTGTTTCACTTATAATCACCGATTAATGAAGAAGCCGTTCAAACATCACATTTGGTGCCCATCGGTTCCTAAACATCAGCTTCTTGATCACCAACAGTAACAGCGGTGGATCGCTAATCCATGCTAACGTCGATACTCGGTGCAACTAACACGCCAAACGTGAGCAGTCAAAACAATAAACAGTCGGATTAGCGTCCATTTAAAGGCAGCAGGTAAAACACTAAACACTCCTGCTGCAGCGTGAGCAGGAATCCGACGCGCCCGATGTGTCAACACAACACAGAAGCTGATCCTGAGTCAGTGGGCAGCTCCTGCGTCTGGTGCAGGTTCAGTTAAAACCTACTGGAGCTGTTTGGTTTTGACCACTTCTTCTAGAGAGAGAAAGCAGCAGGTTGTGTTTTTTTTAAACACCGTACGCTGATCTGAGGCAACAGTGCAGCAACACTCGAGTTTCTGATGTGTCGTAACTCGGCGTCACACTCTCGGCTTGTCGGGGCCTCTCGTATCTCCCAGCAGGGCGTTATGGGATGCCTGCGAGTCACCGCTCACGTCCCACTGACACAGAAGTTTCCATGACGAAGCCTCGCCTTTACGTAACTCGTAAAACGCCCTCGATGTATAGCAAGGAAAAAAACACCAAACATGCAGGTCGTAACCAGAGATGATTAACCCGCAGAGCTGCAGCTCATTTGTTTAAACGCTTCGGTGGGAGGTCAGAGTTCAAGCAGAGAGCCATCAGGTGTTTAGAGTGGAGTCACATTTTAACCGTCACAAGTCAGAACGGAGATCAGCTGACAGTCCGAGGTGGTTTACAGAAGTTTGAAACTGCTGACTTTTCACTGTTGCCTTCATTTTCTGCTTAATCACGTGAGTTCTTTGTCCCAGTCTGGCAGAAAAGCAAAGTTTAGGAAATATCTAATCTTCTAGTCACTATTAATCCGTAGATTTCTGACTTCTTTAAAGTGTGCCACAACTTAAACCTTCGTTTTCTGTTCGGACACGATCAGTAAAAACAAAAAACGTCAACACTTAGTTTTCTGCTGAACCGGTCAAACCGCGTTTCTACATAAATGAGGAGGTTTTGCAGTTATTTTCAGCAGCGATTCAGGTAGTTATTAATAGGTGAAACGCTGGAAAACTGGTGGAACTGGACTTTTTTTCTGCTTAATTTTGTTTTCAAAACGCTGGAGAACGTTCTGCTGCACCATCCTGCTGTAAAGACTGTCTTTAATCAGAGTCTCAGGAGGATGCAGTGATGTTGTCCTGGTAAAATAGTGTAATAAATGTTTAAAAAGCAAACTAAAAAACAGCACAACACGTGCAAATGTTGTAAATGTGATCTTTGTGGAGCTTTTACTAAAATAAGCGAGCAGTCGTGTCTTCAAGTCTTCATCAAAACATGCTGAATGTCAGCCTGAAGGTTGTTGATCCTTCAAAACAAAAAGCAGATTTAATAATAAATAGTAGGAGGACTGTGCCCGACGTGAACAGTCCAGAGCCGGTGAGTCAGAGCAGACCTCACCTGAACCTGCGTCACTCCTCAGACTTCACCTGAACACACCTGCCTGAGACATTTGTTCTGACAACAAACACGCCTGAGTTGCTTCATGTCGAGTCATCGGGAGCCTCCTGCTTTCTCAGTTTTATTTGGAGAATCAAAATTTGTAGTTTTTGTGGTGCAACTCGTCAAACCTGCTCCAGCTGTTTTATTTTTGTGATCAAATATGTTATATTAAAACTATTCTACATGTTTAGTTTTGTATTTTTGTGACCTGCAGCTACATGTGGTTCAGTAAACATCCCTGGTTGACTTCTGCGTTCGCATATTTTCTATTTTCATGATGGCTTGATCGTCGTCATATTTCAGAGATTATTTGATCTACTTGTCCAACATTACAGATTCTGAATCGATGACATGATGAGAAATAAGAGTGAAAATTTCAGGTTTTTATCTTTCATACTTCCTGAGATATTGTTGTTCCAAAATTTAAATGTGATTGAAAAACCCTGCTGATAGTGGGTCTACGGGCGATTTTAGCATCGATACATGACGCTAAAACTGCACATATCTTTATAAACATCCACGTTTAATGCTGTAAAAGTTTCAGGTGGATCAGAGGTCAATGCTGCTGTCAGTATCTGTGTGTGACGGTGTTTCCTGTTTGTCTACAGCGAGGACTCCTCCGAGGACGTCATGAGCTCCGGTGAAGAATCTCTCAGCAGCTCTTTGGGCAGCGACGCCGAAGGGCCCTTCTTCCCTCTTCACCTCCGTCGCCAAAAGCACCGCCAGTACCTCCACACCTGAAGCCTTCGCCGCTGCCGCCTCCGCCCGCCTCCCCACCACCACCACCACCATCCACCACCCCGTCCTCCCCTTCATCTTTTAATTTATTACGGAATAAGCTCCGGCGCTGGCGGAGGTTCGCACAACGACGACCGGCGCCGACTCCTCCCGGTAGATTCGTTTAGTTCGGCGCATGTGGAAGGCGTCACATTCCAGGATTTAAAGGACGTACACGTGATGTTTTGGTCTTCAAGGTGCTGAGCTAGCAGACGCTGGGGGGGAACAACCAACCAACCGGGTGCTCGTCCGTCAGATCAGCCCGTTCGTCCTGTTTATTTAATAGAGCGTTTTTGACTGTTATTAATCCAAGACTGTTGGAGTTTACTTTGGTGCCCGGCAGCCGAGAGCAGCGGCGCTCGTTGTTTTCACCACTCAGCTCATTGACGAGCGCGGCGGCTCTCGGCTCTCGTGGCAAACGTTTAATTTGCACACTTTGTTTTTTTTTCTAATATAACTTCAAGTGTTAAACGGTGGAACCAGAGCGTCGGAGTTTGTGACGCCACCGAGTGTTCAGATAAAACAAAAAAAAAAAACATTAACGAGTGCGTGTTTGTGGACGTGTGTGTACGTATGATCCTGGTTTAAATATAAGAAGTTGCCAACTTTAGGATGTAGCTTGACTTAGACGAGAAAACACAAAAAGTCTGTGGTGTTGTGAAAGAATGTCGAAGTAAATAATGCCGACCGAGTGTCAAAAAAAAAAGTCTAAAAACCACAAAAATGTTGATACAAAAACATGTAAAACTGTAAATGATGTACAAAAAACAAACAAAAAAAATCTGTTAATAGTTCTTTGTAGATACTGAGTTATTTATTCTTTTTTGTCACCTGTACTGGAAAAAGAAAATCTTATAAAAAATATTATTTTTAACCTGCTGTCTGCTGTTTTTCTTTTCTGCTTTTCGTTGTGTCTGAAAACATCATTTCCTGAAGTGAAATCATCGACTGAAGCAGCCACGGATCCGGTTTAAGGCTTAATGAAATATAAAACCAAACAATGTTTTCTTGCCTGAAGAAATCCTCTTTATCAGCCGAACACATGCGAGCAGATCTGACTCGAAGGAGCTCAGCTTGTATTTCCTCTAAACACTTGTTCCTCCTGGTATCAGATTTGACAAATATTATGTCTACTGTGATCGGCTGCCAGCCGATAAATGAATCAATTTCTATACACCAAAGATAAAGGTCAAAGTATTTCTGATGGTTGATCATAGATATAATATTCATCCTTCCAGTAGTGTGTTAGATGTTTATCAGTTGATCAAATAATTCACCCAAAACATGAGTTTAAAAAGCATGTTTTCTTTTTTTTTTAAAAAAGGGGCAAAATTACCCAATTTATTCAAGTCAGAAACCTGAAAGAACAAAACTGTCAGACTTCCCAAGTCCAGGAATGAACCGTACCTTCCAGAACAAAACAAGAAAAGCCACCAATGAGCTCAGAATGGTCGTATTTAATCTGTACGTCAACCACAAGAATGAAACTGTCCAAACTTTCGTGCTC